ACATGCCAAGGAAACGCGAGATGTCACAGGAGGAAGGGGAACGGAGGAAGACGACGACGAGAAGATAAGCTCGGATGAGGATACGTCGGGATTCTCCAAGAGCCAGCAGGTCAGAGGGCGCCGCGGCCGTCCCAGAGATGTCCAGAACTCTATAGGAGTGCTTCAGAGCGCCACGGAGCGGTTTATCCTCATCCTGTGCCCGGGCAACACATTCCTCCGCATGTCCTCGTCCTCGTCTTCCATCGTCCGCTGCCACTCCCTGCCCAGAGCTCCGACGCCATGATTCTCTCACGGCCAGGGAGGCTCAAGGAGTCTACACCCCTTGCTCGGGACCGAAGCCTCCTTCTGAGTCGATGTTGGCCGGTCCCGAGGCCCAGCAAAGGCCCCCACAGGCCGAAGACTGCTCGAAACCTCCCGTCGGAATCTCTTGCAACTAGAGGCGGTGGGGGTCCTCCTCCTCGTCCTTCTCGTCCTCGTCCACTTTCCACCACCACCCCCGCACCTACCCTTGAGTCGGGCAGGTCCTCCCATAGGCGGATGTTGGAAGAGAACTGAAAAAGAGTCATACAAACTTGTCCGGAACATTCACAAATGATAGAACACTCGTCCACAGACTATTTTTTGCTGTTTTCCCTACCTAGGCTCTGCCTAGAAGGGTTCTTACTCGGCTTGCTTAAAGGGGCTGGGCAGTGCAAATCGCCCCGGGCGGTTCCCCCGGTCCCCTGGGAGCGGTTCCCCCCGTCCCTTGGGAGCTTTAGCTTTAGCTTTAGCTTCAGCTTTAGCTTTAGCTTAGCTTTAGCTTTACCTTAGCTGCAGCTTACCTTTAGTTTAGCTTTACCTTAGCTGTACCGTAGCTTCACCTTAGCTTTAACTTAGCTTTAGCTTAGCTTTATCTTAGCTTTACCTTAGTTTTAGCTTAGCCTTAGCTTAGCTGTAGCTTAGCTTTAGCGTAGCTTCAGCTTAGCTTTAGTTCAGCTGTATATTAGCTTTAGTTTAGCGTCAGCTTAGCTGCACCTTAGCTTTAGCTTAACTTTAGTTTGACTTTAGCTTAGCTTTAGCTTAGCTTAGTTTTAGCTTAGCTGTAGCTTAGCTTTAGCTTAGCTTTAGCTTAGCTTTAGCTTAGCTTTACTGTTACTACTAATGCTGCTTTCCTAGTGGCTCCAACTCCTAGGTAGGGTCGCACTGGGATAATGAGCACTCCTCTTGTAGAGGGACATGGCCGATTCAAACCTACCCCGTAGCGGCAGAGAGGCAGCAATTGTGCGGGCGGCGAGCCCGGCCGCAATGTCCAAGGCCATCTCCGCCATCTCGGCGTCGCCCGCCTCCAGGAACGCCATGGGCGCCTCCGCCATGTCACTGGCCTCCTCCTCCTCCACATCCTCCTCGCGGCCCTCCTGGCCCACATCATCTTCCTCCTCCTCACCCTGACCCTACTCTTGATCCTAATCCTGATCCTCCGCATCAGCATCATCAGCATCATCATCATTATCATCATCATCAACATCATCGCCATCATCATCATCATCATCATCAGTATCATCATCATCGTCATCATCATCATCACCATCACCATCATCATCACCATTACCATTACCATCACCATCACCATCATCATCAGCATCAGCATCAGCATCAGCATCAGCATCATACTCAGCATCGTCATCATCATCATGATTAGTCTCATCATCAGCATCGTCAGAATCATCACCATCCACATCACCATCACCATCACCATCACCACCACAATCACCATCATCATCACCAGCATCAGCATCATCAGCATCAGCATCCTCATCATGATCGCCAGCATCAGTATCATCATAATCATCCTCATCATCCTCGTCACCATAAGCAGCAACATCAGTATCATCATCAGAATCATCACCATCAGCATCATCATCAGACGCATCATCATCATCATCACAATCATCGTGATCAATGTCGTCATCATCCGCAGCATGATCAGCATCACCATCATCACCATCATCATTACCAACCTCATCACCACCATCATCTTAACCATCAGCATCACCATCATCAACATCATCACCACCCCAACCATCATCCCCAAAAGCAGCATCAGCTTCCTTACCATTGTCATCAGCAACGTCATCATCTGTATCAAGAGCATCATCAGCATCGTCAACGTTATCCTCGCCATCGTCAGCATCCTCATCATCATCATGACCAGCAGCAACATCATCATCAGCAGCATCGTCCTCATCACCTGTTCCGCCAGTCATCATCATCACCACCACCAACGACAACATCGTCATAATCATCCGGATATTTCACAATCGTCCTCATCATCAACATGATCATCAAAGTCATCCGCATCATCATCATCATCATCATCATCAGCATCATCATCATCATCATCATCATCATCAGCATCGTCATCGTCCTCATCATCAGCATCATCAGCATCATCATCACCATCTGCATCCTCATCATCATCACCGTCATCATCACCACCACCATCATCAGCATCATCAGCATCCACATCATCATCACCATCATCAGCATCGTCAGCATCATCATCATCATCATCATCATCACCAGTATCATCATTAGTATCTTCATCAGTATCGGCATCATCAGCATCAGCACCATCATTCTCAGCATCAGACGCATCGTCATCACCACTAGCATCACCATCATCCACATCGGCATCAGCATGTGCAACACCATCACCATCATCGACATCATCACGACCATAACCATCAGAATCAACAGCATCACCGTCAGCAGCGGCAGCATCAGCAGCATCATCAGCAGCAGCATCAGCATCGTCATCATCATCAGCAGCATCATCGTCACCATCAGCATCGTCATCCTCATCGTCGACATCATCGTCATCATCGTCGTCATCCTCGCAATCGTCAGAATCAGCATCAGCATCATCACCGATCATTATCACCGCCACCATCAATCATCATCACCATCATCAGCATCATCAGCAGCGTCATCATCAGCATCATCATCACCATAACCATCACACTAGTTCATCATCATCAGCAGCATCAGCAGCATCAGCATCATCAACACCATCATCATCACCGCTACCGCCATGAGCATCACCATCGTCATTACCATCGATATCACTATCATCATCCTCACCATCGTACTCATCATCATCATCACGTCATCATAATCATCACCGTCAATCCGCATCATCATCAGCGGCAACCGCATCATCATCATCGTCATCGTCATCGTCTTAGTCGTCATCATCGTCAGCATCACCGTCGTCATCACCATCATCCCAGTATCGTCATCGTCATCGCCATCGTCAGCTTCAACATCATCATCGTCATCATCAGCAGCATCATTAGCATCAGCATCAGCACTAGCATCAGCATCAACATATCATTATTCCCACGAGAAGTACTGGTGTCATCTTCATCCTCATCCTCGTCGTACGCCTTATCGTCATCAACACCACCATGATCACCATCCCTCCACCTCTCCCCATCCACCCTTCCTCCTCCCTATTCCCTTCGACTCCCCCCATCTTCTTCTCCCTCCTTCTCAAGCATCTTCGTCGTCCTCCTCCTCCACCTCCCCCATGCGCCTTGTACCTTTCTGCTGCATCCTCTTCTCCCAAGTCATGCTCTTTCGCGACCTCCCCTCCTCTTTCGCGTCCTCCTCCTCCTCCTCCTCCACCACGCCCGCCGCCTGCACCGAAGGCGCGGCGGGAGCGCGGGCGCGCGCCTGCCTGGACGGTGGGCGGCGCAGGATTGGGGGCCCGGCTGATATGCTGCCCCTGGGCCCCAGGGTGCCAAGGACGGCCGGCACTGCGATCCCAGTGCGGCTTCGTAGGGAGAACAAAACGACACACAGCCGCTGCTCCCCGGCCAGGCCCATCCCGAACCCAGGAGCTGCGCATGCGCCACGCCCTCCTGGCCCTCCTGGCCAAGCCAGGAGGGCGTATGCACGGCTCATGGGTTCACGATGGGCACGGCGACAGCGGGTATGTGTAGATTTCGGCGCCCGACTTCGGCACGCCCTGGGTGTTCGGCCCCGGCTGCCCTGCAGGGGTGGCTGCCGAGGCCTGCTGGGGGCGCTCGTGCAGGTCAGGGCCCCCACGGCCTTTCCGTCACTGGCACATCGAGGGTTGCCTGGGCCAACGCTGCTGGTCGCCCTGAGCTCGGGCCCTGTGGTGCTCATGGAGCATTGGTCCATGGCGCGCTCTTCCAGCATAGTCCAGCATTGTCCTCCTCTCGGTCGTCGTTGCCACCCCCCCTGGAACTCTGGAACCCGCTACCATCATGCCGCCTCCCCCCTATTATCTCGCTGGTTCTGCTGCCGTGAGGGAAGGAAGGATGGGACAGGAGGGCAAGAAGGAACGCGGCGAGGGGAAAGAAGGATGGGAGTGTAATGGCATGAACCCATGCGGAAGGTACGGCGAAAAAGGAATTGCAGGCAGGACCAAGAACTAAGGTGGGGGGGAAGAAAGATGGGGGAAGGCAAGATTGGTGCGCTCGCGCCGTTTCTGACCTCGTACCCCTCCACCTGACTCCTTACCGTGGAGCAGAGTCACCCGTGCTCGCAGAGTCGAGCGTCGAAGTGGCAAGCGCTACAGCGGACATACAGCCAACGATGCAGCGAAAGCGACCTTCCGTTGGAAAGAGGCTCTGAGGAAGTCCGTCAATGTGGCCACCGCTGCATCCAAAGCCAAACTTTTGAAGAGCCGATGGCGTCCTGTGTGGGAACACCATTTCGAAAATCACCGTTGGGCAATCCTGTGATAAACAGCATGCGGAACAGGCGGGGGAGACTACAGACAGCACCTGGGGAGAGTGGACATACTCATACTGAGTAATTGCAGTTGGTGGGTGTGAGTGAGGATGGAGACACGAGGGGAAAGACGAAGATGAGGAAGAGGGGCAAGGACGACAATGCAAAGCCCCCAATCTTGCGAAACTTCCAGCCAAAGCAGAGGCGGCTTCCCTGGCCTTGAAGTAGAAGGCCACGTCGCGGTGCTCAGCCACCCAGCCCTCCTGCCAAAAAGGGATCTCGGGCAGTCTGGCAGCGCCTCGGCCTCCCCTTCTTCCTATACCTCCTCCGCTTCTTTTTCCTCCATACGCGTCTGGCCCGCCTAAGCCTTCTCCTCGATGACTGCCTCATCGTCGTGCGCCTCCGCCTTCCCCCTCCTCCGCTTACTTCCTGTCCTAGTCTGTGTTTGATTGTGTGTCTCTCGAGAGAGATCTCTCTTTCTCTCTCTCTCTCTCTCTCTCGTTTTCTCTCTCTCTCTCTCTCTCGTTTATCTTTGTTGATTGTTGTTTTCTCTATATATATATATATATATTATCGGCGGCGCCCAGTGCGGAGCGAACTCACCCCCCAAAATGCACCAAACCCCCCACAAGGATGCACGGAACCCCCCTGGACGCACCGCTAGTGCGGCCCGGTACGAGACCCCTTCGGATGCCCTCGGGTGCGAGCGTCCAGGAGCGTGTGGGAACACCTTGAGAGCGCGTGCGAGCGACCAGGGTGATTGAGAGCTCTGGAAGCGCCCTTCAACAGCGGCGGCGTTGTCAGCGGCGGCGTCGGCGGCGGCATGGCGGCGGCGTCCGCGGTGTCGGCGGCGGCGGCGCAGGCGACGACGACGACGACGTAACGACGAGGTGACGACGACGTGACGACGACGCGACGACGTCGTGACGACGACGACACGAAGACGTGACGACGTGACGACGATGTGACAACGCGACAACGACGTGACGACGACGTGACGACGACGCTACGACGACGCTACGACGACGTGACGACGACATGACGACAACGTGACGACGCGACGACGACGTGACGGCGACGTGACGACGCGACGACGACATGACGACGACGTGACGACGACAACGACGTGACAACGACGACGACGACGACGACGACAACGACGACGACGACGGCGACGACGGCGACGAAGACGTGACAACGGCGACGACGACGACGGCGGCGACGAAGACGACGCGACGACGACGACGACGACGACGACGACGACGACAACGACGACGACAACAACGGACGACAACGACGGACGACGGCAGCGAACGACGAGGACGCCGAACGACGACGACGACGACGACGACGACGACGTCCATGCAGAGATCTCCGGAGGGTGGCAGGGCCCCTGCGCGTCCTGCCTGGCCCCCTCGCTGGCGGTGCCGCGTGGTGCCGCCGGCGTGGGGCCCGCCCTAGGGCCCACACGCGGGGAGGCCCTCGCAGCCCCCCGCTGGGTGGAGCCGTCTGCGCCTGGCTCCACCCCGGCCCGTGCAGAAGTCTGGCACGCTCTCTCCATGGAAGGGCCTCGCATGGGGCCGCCGGGGGGGGGTGCCCCCAGGCGGCGCCGGAGGCGCGCGCGCCAGAGCGTGCCACGAGCCGAGGTCTCGTTTGCAGTTTCGGAGGTGCGGACGGGGTGCGCCACACCCTGATCGCCACAAGGCGCGCCAGCTCCTCCGGTCGGGCGCCTTGCGACCGCGCCAGGGCTGAGGCTGCACGCACCGCTGCCATTCACGCGCGGGCCCCTCCCACCCTGAAGAGGCATGGCGCAGCGGGCGCCAGTACCCCGCGCGCCAGGACAGACTCCTGCCCAAACTGATGCGCTCTGTCTCTCTATCTCTCTCCCTCTCTTGTCTCCCCGCCCTCCGCCCTCCCCCCCTTCCCTTTTCAATCCCACCGGCCCCTTCGGGCGTGAATGGTTTGGCGACTACCCTCTTCCACCCCCCTTGTTCCCCGTCAAAGAGGGGATCCTTCACCAGTGTCCCCCTATAAGATAAACGCACCCTCCCCCAGCGACCAGCAGCGAACCAGGAACAATCACACCCACCCACCCCCAGCATCCGTATCAAAACACCATACAAAATACACGTTCTGGCAATTTCTGGGGTTATGCTCGTGGGCCCCACAATCACTTCGTATTGTGTTTGATGAGGACGGCGGGGGGGCCGTATCACTTTGCGTGCTGCGCGCAGGGCCACGATCCGAGTCAACAGATACAAGTTGCATGTCACCGCTAAATCTGGATCATGCGCGGCCAACCCCAGTCACCTTGCATTGGATTTTGACAAGGACGGCGGGGGTGCTGGCATATTGCCTGCTCTGCGCAAACCCACCAGACACCATGATGGCCACCCCGCCGAGATTGCGCACTGCTGTTCGACAAAGACGGTGGGGTGGCGCACTTGGCGCGGCTGGAGCGTGCGGCACACACGCACACACACACACACACACACACTTCCGTGGTGCACGCGGAGCACGTAGCGCATCTGGCGCGACAGGCGTGCCTGGCACGCTGGGGCCCCAGGGGTGCCTGGCGCACCTCGAGCGCGTGGCGCGCCTGGCACGCGTTGCGCACCGCGCCCCAGCATCGCGCACGCGGGATCTGCTTTTGGTTTCCCGTATCTGTCCATCCATGGACGACCGCTGAACACGCTGAGGCTCGAGTGCTACCTCTGTGTTAGGAGGGTGGGTGGGAGTGAGCGAGACAGCTTGCGGGCGGGGAGGGTGTCCCCCTACCTCCTACCCCCTACCCCTACCCCCTCCTTCTGGACGTCAGGGGGATGGGGGGCGCGAGGTGTTGGAGGCAGATTTGGGGCTCGAGATGGTTCCAAGAGGACCTCCGAAAGCCCAAGCTGACCTCCTAGGTGGTACAAGATAGCGCAAGATCGTGCAAGATGGCTGCCAACACGCCCCAAGCAACCCCAAGACCGATCCAACACGAGCCCCAGTGGCCTCGGAGCCTTCCCAAGGACGCCCCAAAGAGGCCAACCACTTTCAAAGACCTACGACAAAGGTAAGGGTTTGAACCTTCTCGCACGTTGGCGTCCGATGACCATCCGAGGCCTCAAGATGGCGTGGTATGGTCCAAATTGGCTCGAGATGGCATCCAAGATACCTCCAAGAGGCCCCATGACGGCTCGAGGATGGCTTCAACTCACCACGGAGATCCCTAATAAGGCCCCCAAAAGGCCAAAATCGCCCAGCAACCAACAAACAATCAAGGATGTTGACCGTCTCGCCCTGTCGCTTCTCATGGTTTCCCGAGGCCTCCGAATGGCCCCTAAATGGCCAAATAATGTCCCCAAGAGAGGCCCAAGATGGCTCCAAGACGGCCCCCAACGCGCCCACAGAAAGCCCCAAGAGGCTCCCAAGAGGCGACTGTTGGGGCTCCAGGGGGGGGGGGCACTCATTAGGGCCTCCTCCTATTTGATCGACATTCTCCAAGAAGGTGCAAAAAATGCATCCCAGGCCCCCAAGAGGACCTTCAAGAGGCTCCCAAGACGGGGCCACTATGGCCCCAGGAGGCCCCCGAGAGCCCTCCAAGAGGCCACAAGCGGTCCTCCCAGAGGCACCAAGGGGCCCCCCAGAGGCAGCTCCAAGAGGCTCCTGGGGCGGCCGAGAGACGCCCAAGGCGCCCGAGGCGGCCTCCAAAAAACCTCCAGCCCTTTTCCTCGCCCTCTCCCTCCTCCTCCACCTCCTCCTCCTCCTCCTCCTCCTCATCCTCCTCATCCTCCTCCTCATCCTCCTCTTCCTCCTCCTCCTCCCCGTCCTCCTCGTCCCTTTCCTTCTCCGGTTCCTCCTCCTCCCTCCTCCTCCTCCTCCTCCCTCCTCCTCCTCCCTCCCTCCGCCCTCCTCCTCCTCCTCTCCTCCTCCTCCTCCTCCTCCTCCTCATCATCATCATCATCATCATCATCATCATCTCATCATCATCATCATCATCATCATCATCATCATCATCATCATCATCATCATCATCATCATCAGCATCATCTCATCATCATCATCATCATCATCATCATCATCATCATCATCATCATCATCATCATCATCATCATCATCATCATCATCATCATCATCATCATCATCATCATCATCATCATCATCATCATCATCATCATCATCATCATCATCATCATCATCATCATCATCATCATCATCATCATCATCATCATCATCATCATCTCATCATCATCATCGATCACATCATCATCATCATCATCATCATCATCATCATCTCATCATCATCATCATCATCATCATCATCATCATCATCATCATCAATCATCATCATCATCATCATCATCATCATCATCATCATCATCATCATCATCATCATCATCATCATCATCATCATCATCATCATCATCATCATCATCATCATCATCATCATCATCATCATCATCATCATCATCATCATCATCATCATCATCATCATCATCATCATCATCATCTCATCATCATCATCATCATCATCATCAGCATCATCATCATCATCATCATCATCATCATCATCATCATCATCATCATCATCATCATCATCATCATCATCATCATCATCATCATCATCATCATCATCATCATCATCACCATTCTCCGCCTCCTCCTCGTCTTCTTGCTCCTCTTACTCCTCCTCTGACTCCTCCTCCTCCTCATCCTCCTCCTCCTCCTCTTCTTCTTCCTCTTTCTCCTCCTCCTCCTCATCATCATCTTCATCCTCCTCACCCTCCCCTTTCTCATCCGCGCCTGTTCTTCCTCCTATCCCCCTCTCTTCTCACCAATCCCCCCTCCCTCATCCGATTCTTCCTCTACTCGTGGTACGACGGCTGCCCCGAGCCGCTGTTCCACGACATGCTCCAATTCCCTGGTCTTGGCAACTCGCCTGGGCATCGGCTCTGGATGGGCTGGTGGGGTTACGCCACGCGTCTAGAATTTCCAGATTACTCGACATGTGGTTTCACCTCTCTGTTTCTCTCTCGCTCCCTCCCTGAGGAGGAGGAGGAGGAGGAGGAGAAGGAGGAGGAGGAGGACCCTACCTCTCGCTTCTGCGCGCGCTCTCACTCCCACTTGCACTGATTCCTTTTGTGGGGTACACGTGTGCTCAAACACGCCCCTCGTTGCCACCCTGGCAGAAGGCCCTACCCGGGAACTCCCGCCCCACCAGTCCCCCACGAAAGATGAGAATACGCCGGCAAAGCATCCTACTAGCAGCTAGGGTGTG